CTCGTTAAATATTCAAATTAGAAGAAAAATACATAGAATCTTTCTTTGTAGAGGATGTTAGTGCCTACAACTTCTGTATAAAAAATTTTTCGCCAGCATCAATAACTAATTGGATATTTTCTTCTATACTTTCTAGCACGTAGCTATTTATGATTAGCATTGTTCTTCCGACGTCTGATTTCTTTTTAATTATAGGAAATGCGTTTCTCTAAGGTATATAAACTTTTGGGATTGACTGTATAGCAAATACATCCTTAAACAGATGATAATAAAGTTTATGACTTGCTTTGCTGTAATGAAACAGACTCAGCTCGATCGAAATAAAAAGAAGGGGTTAAGGAGAGGAGGGAATCGTTCGATTGCTATTCGGTGGACGCAGCGGAAAGATATTAGGTGGAATCAGGGGAGCGGTATAAAACGGCGGACGACGGAATGATAATGTAATAAGTGGCGGTGATAAGGGAAACTAGTTTGGTCGGACGGCGGGGGAACGAAATCGTTGGGGTCAGCAATGTAAAATCGCTGAGCAAAAGCGACGAGGACGAGGGGAGATCGGGTTTAAGAGGGCAAAGGAAAGAAGCGAAGAGTATAATGGATATTGGGGAGCCGGAGTCTGCGGCGGCCGGGCAAAGGAATCAAATCCATTTGCTCGTCACCTTATCGTTAAGTAATAATTGGGCCGGTCAGCGATCAGTTCTCCTTTCGGGTTAGGAACGGGGCGTTCGAAACGATCGGCGAACGATAAAACGGCACACCGGGAAGAAGAATTACCGCGAGCAGCCGTTGATACAAAGCGAGATAGCCGCGGGAGAAAGAGAGATCAAGCTGAATGGATTTACTGGTATAACCCTCCGTCCTCCTGCCGCTGTAAGGAATATCGAAGCCGTTCTTATCTGCGACCAAATTTATAACCCGCGTAGACCCTCGATTCACGTTGCATTCTCGAAATTGCCCGGCCGCAATTACTCACGACGCTATTGACTCGAACATTCAGAGCCGGGTTCATGAAGTTTAGATTGAAACTTACTTTCCACTCGTCTTCCCTTTGGAATTTCCAACAGAATAGTTAATTCCGGATTTCGAGAATACCTCGTAGGAATTAAACGTTATAGTACGTTTTAGGAGATGGATAATGGGGACATAATGAAACTTCTGTACTCGAGCTGTGTGCAACTATCGTGTATCGTGTACGCGATGCGAGGGCGGTGAGCGTGAGCCTTGAGAGTTGTTAGACTATTTGGTTCTTGGACTAAAGCCCAATTAGCCTATGCACACATTTGTTCCCCGCCCCTTTGCTTTCAGCCAAAATTTGATCTCTATTTAGAGATTACGTACCCAGGCGCTTGTACTCGAGATCATTTTAGATTCGCCGCGATCAAATTAACTACACCGGACGCCAATCTTGTTCACGGAAGTCAGCGAGATCGGTCATTAAATTCTAATCGAATCATTTACAAAGTCTAATGAATCAATTGAGAGAAACAAGAAGCGCACTTAAAAAATTTTAAAATTATGAGTATTCGTCAGTTTTACCATTTGATCATAAAAACTTTAATGAAAATCCTGGATTAAATCGAAAAATAAATCTCAGGGGTCTTTTGCAATGTCAGTCTGTTTGCGAAATTGGCCCCGATCCCACGGAGTGTACACTCGATAAGGGCGCAAGTGTAGTGCATCGGGTTAGGCCAACCTCTCTGTGTCCAGTACACAGAAGGTTGAGTGCGCGCACTCGACGAGGTTCTCGGCAAACGTCATAGCGCGATGAACTTACGGACGTGTATATATACAGTTACCACCAAAAGTGAATACGCTTTCCGGAAAAATAAAATTCATTGCTGCAATTTATAACTGTTCAGTATCAATACTCTAATAAAAATATAATGCAGCCACGATATGTCCTGACGATACGTTTTTTGCAGATAACTAACGAACTGAATACTTTAATTTTTTCTGAGTGATAATTTTTATTAAAGGAATAATTTTCTGCATAAAAAAAAGTCGAAATTCATTAAATCACTTCAAGTCTTTATAATATCAATAAATGTCTAATAAATTATGTCAGTTTTTATTATCATCAATTTTTTAGCATATATAATTTTAGATTTTCACGGTGCACATTCGCTTTTGATTGTTGCTGTACAAACAGGGTGTGTATAGGGAGGTATACTCACGTATTTCATTGAAATAGAAAGGGTATTCGCCGGGCACGGAACAGTTGAGCCTCGCTTTCAGGAAGCTCGTCCATCTGTCGCTGAACGCATGAGGTCCGCCCTTGTCGTGCTGGCACACTCTACCGACCCGCGAGTACACCGCCTAAAACACACGAACAACCCCCATCGTACATATAATACGTCGCGGCCCTTCGATTTTCCTTTCTTCGCCGCGAGTCTCCGCCGTGACGAGAAAAATGAAGCGGAAACCTCTGGTGCACCGCGGTACGTAAAAACTCGATAAAGAATGCTGGGAATGTCGGGTTACTTTTACTCTTCAACGGTATTTATTGCCTACTTTCACTTGCAGAGTCAGGAAATTGTACGTTAGTAAGGAAAACCAATATAATCAATTAATTACTTCTGTTTTAATTTTAATCCGTTTGTATCATTAATGTACATAGTATGAAGTATTTTTTATTATGAATTATGTATTGTATCGATCATTTATAAGACGTATTAATTACTATGCCAAATATTGCATGAATCATTGCATCAAATGTATAGCAATTATGATATGGAGTAGTGATCCTCTAGGGAGGGTCTGGACAGTTAAATAAAGGTTTACCTAAACCGGAAGTTACATATTTGAAA